ATACATTTTGGTTTTTAAAATGAACCCATACAAGTGTTAAGACTGAATAATTGTGGGACTACTGTCAGAAATATGGGGCAAATGTTTGAAAAAAGTCGGTAACAACCACACAGTTCGTCCGTGCCAGATGAGACAGAAAGAGAGGAAATGGTGTCTAAATAGTGCCTGAGGAAAACACTGCTATCGATAATATTACTCTTAAAAGATGTATTTAAAAAGAAAAACTGGATGAGAACTGTACTTTCAAACAATAAGAAAGTGAAGTTATCTGCCGCGTGGGAGAAGCGTGGCCGGGTGGAGGTATGAGAGGAATGTCCCGCAGAAAACGCAACACGCTCCAGAGGAGGATTCAAACGCGCGGCGTGACGTGTATGCGAATGTTTTGTATAAAACCATCAATCTGGATAAAGATTTTGTATTGAAACATAGGCTACCATGCTCGTGGGCAGGAACAATTATGTGGAGTAGCAAAATAGCAAGCCCAATTGGTCAAGGTTAGTTCAATTCACCCAAGATAACCCACAGATAAAGCAGGTGGTGTAATCTGATGCTGGTTAATGATCAAACTGCAGCCGAGAAAGAAGAGGGTTAGGTTGGGACAGAAGTTGATATTTTGATATGTTTTTTGATGTTTTAAGCTATATTCTGTTCTGAAAGTTGTGGAAGAAGAATGTAGATTCTCCACTCAACTAAAAGCACTTTTATTACACTGGACATACTCTGCTGCAAATCAAAGTCCTGGATTCAAACTAATAGAAAAATGTACTTAATGTATGAAAAGTATTCAGTGTAGCCTACAGTAAAAATGTCAGTGATTTACTATAAATATAATGTTTCTGGTATTGTATTGCTGTTGACTGTTTTAGATGTTTAAGGTTGTGCTAAATTGAACCCTTTTCATGTTTTACATTAAAGTCGCAACTATCATCCTCAAAAGAGATTTCAGCATTTCAAACAAACAAACTGCCTTTCTAGCCTCACACTTTTGATGATGATTTATTCTTAATTCATTCAATTCCAAGATTCAAAGGAATAAAAGAACAGTCAATATGAATATAATCAAGCATTTTTGCTATTTTTCAAGAATCCACACACCTGCAGGCCGTATATGCACTTATCTTTACTTTCCCATTACTGGTTCCTCTGAAGCTAATACGTTGTTCTGAGACTTCGCCACTGGGTATATTTTTATTTTAGGGATACGTATATCTATTTAATAACATAGCATGAAGTTTCAGTTTAATTTAAAATCTGATTCAATTCTCTTGTCAGTTAAGATGAATTGACAATGAAAGGATAAGCTGGAAAAAGCAACAGGTATTCTGCTGAATGCACTCTGTATTCATCTAAATGTTAAACTCTACAGGGTCTCTTTTCTGGATGGTAAACTGCTTTCAAATGTTTGAACAGCTACAGTTTTAAATCTGAAGACAAAATCTGGCTTTTGTGTCTTTTTTGTATAAATTCCCATGCTTGTTCTTTGTCTGCGTGTCAAACTATTGTCTCCAAAGACAATAAATAAGTTTAGGTTTTTTGTTATGATAAATATTAAGCGAAATATTCAATTGAAAAAATATTTTCATCCTCTTCCATTGTACAATTCACAGAAATTATTCAACACTTTGCCTTGAAGCTGTGTGAATTAGTTTGATTCTCTGCTCAGACTTTACAGTTCAGCTAAAGTCAACGGATGATGTCACAGTTTTTCTACACTTTATCATAGAGCCTTGAGCAAATGGGGAAAGTGTGAATGTGAGTCAGGCATGATGGCTCAGCAGGAATTGGATACAAGGGTGGCCTTTATGTGTCTCTCTGTCCACTGCAGAAGAACTGTCTTCATAATCCAGCAGGGGAATTCCTATTGTGCAGCAGACCTTTGGAAGCCCCTGGCTGTACGGGAAGTTTCAGGTCTTGGGAACATTCAGAGTTGGATTATTTCGGGGTCAAAAGGCTTGTCCATGTGTGTGCGGAGTTTGTGCGTAGGTGTGGCTAAAAGTTCCTGATTGAGTCAGACACACTTGAACTTTATAAAATTGCATTTTGGAGTCAAAGGTGCAACTGAGGAGTGGGCTTCTCTCCTCTTCTCTGCTGCTGATTGTAGCACAAAGAGCATTCCTCGGCTGTGAATCAGAGGACAAAGGTCACTGACTCAACTCCAAATTAGCACTGGACCCTCTTTGATTCAGGGGGCATTTCCCATCTTTGCACACATACACTCAGACACATAATGCACCCAGAATCCCCTGAAAAGAGACCCCCCCATTTATTTAGGTATTTTCATATAGTCCAAACTCTTACTGTTACGTCTGGGAATTTCCAGAGAAAGTTGAATCCACTGACTCTGCTGCACCTCCCTAGAATGCAGAGGGCACTGGCTTCAGACACACTACACCATGTAAAGATGGTGCTGGTTTCACTGCACCACGGAGGTGTGCGCACCTGACTAAACGCCAAGAGGCTCTCCCGTGGCTTAAGCAGAAGAGTGTTAAGTCATAGCGCGATAATATTGTTCTTAGTTCATGTGTGCTCAGGTTCACAGTAACCTCTGTGGAAAATAAACAAAGGCTGTTCAGATTTCAAAGTGTGTGTGGATGACTCATGTGAGGGCTGAGAAAATGTGGAGGCAATAATGTTTTGTGGCAGCTTAAATCTTGCCTGCCAGGTAGGTTTTGTTTGGGGAACGTTGAGATGGATTTGAGTATTCAGGTCTCCTCACAATCAATAACATAAACAAGAACTAACAGATGTATTTGATTAATTCCCAAACAAACATTTGCTGTATTGCTTTGACACTAACACTGTGTTAAACTTAGTTTTGCATCAAACATTTGAGTCAACATAAAACAAGATGTATGCAGCGCAATTCCAATTCCTTAATATCTATAAGACAAGAAAATACAACGATTTTCTCTCATAGCAGAAGCTTTTACATACCTTTTGGAGCTGACTATGGCCACTCAAAGACTTCCAGCTGTGAAAAATAAAAAGGCTCTATATCCAAGTAGAATCACCATGACAACACATGAAACTGGGTGTCATAATGCCTAGCAGTATATCTCCATTATTATATATTATTGTGTCTGTAGTGCGGATTCAAGATATATTTCTAGATTGTCTATATGATAATTCAGTTTAATTTGTAGTTTGAGGTTCTGTATCATGGAGGAATATTAATTCGGCTTAACTTTTGCCTAATGATAACACATTTGTACAGTCATACCCCTTTTGGTGAGAACACATTTTGACATGTCACAAGAAAAGCCCAGGTGTAATTTAAATCAATAATGGCTGTATTCTATTTAGGCGCCTCATTTTCTGGTTACTGGTTTTGTGCATGCTGGCTCACTGTACTGTCAGTGCTACTGGGACTAGTCTGAATAGAAGCTAGACATGGCTAGTGTTCTTGCAGCCTAACATCTAGGCTATGACTGTAAAACATTTAGAGCAGGAACCTTGCTAAGTTGGTCCTGCTTTATTCCTCTAGCTCTAACCAAAAGGCTGTAATTTTAGTGTATCTGTGGTAGAGTGTGTACCCTACTTTCTTACCTTAGTTTGTCTATGCCTGTATGTCTCTGTGCAACATTGCCACCTACAGGTGTATACAAGAAGTGTACAGCTTTAGATTAATACAAATTCAAACCAACACAAATTATAAATAAATAAAGAGTATTAATATATGACTAATGCATAATTGAAATGTAATTGTGACTTTTCTGTTATAGAGAGTAATATAGTAGTTGTATGCACTATAATACAATGCAGAAGAAGCATTGTTTATTTTCAACACTTTGTCGACCTTCAACTGCCTATCTGCCCTATCACACTCAGCATATGTTTGATAGACACAAACAGAAGCACGTCAGATTTATTTTAGCCCTGCCGCTTGAAACAATTGCACACTCCACCAAAGCACAGATCAGTCAGACTTGGCAGCTGGCAGCTCACTGACAAGCTTTACCCCATACACAGATAAGTGCTCTCTAGACAGATGTACTGCATCTGATGTTAGAGTGCTTTACAGGCACAAAAGAGCCTCCTCAAAAGAATGAATGATAAGAGAATTTTATTGAAACGAGCCTGTCCCTCCTTGACCTTGCTATAACATTGTGTGTTAATTTCCTGAAGTGTGCCAGGAGGACCACATATGATGAGAATATAATTTCACAAATTGAAATGTAAATGTTATGCAATTAAAAATGCAGATGCGGAAGTTCTTTCTTTTTAATTTGGTCAGGTTCAGCCGGGCAATTGTAGCTGTAAAATTACCTCTTCGTATAGCAACCATGAGCTTGCCTGCAAGGACAAGCGCTGACAATTTTGTGACATCATCATTCATATTATTATTTGATTAATGTGTTTACCTTTTCCCTGTCACTTCCCTGGTAGTGGTGTTCCAGTATGTGCCATGAAGAGTCAAGAAATGTATGAATTTCAAATTGATACACATTTTTATGTAAACTAACACTTATTTCACTAAACCAGTGCACACTTTTAACACTCAACTGCACAGAGATGACACTCAATGCCTTAAACAGCAGAGTTGATATTCGGAAATAAATACTGGAGATTTTCAATATCGGGGAATCTAGTATTTACCAAAAATTAGGTCATTTGCAATGGGATAGTTTATGCTACTTTTCATATATTGTTAGAACTGTTTACCCTAAATGCCCATGTATTTGCCATATACAGTAAACCAGAATAAGGAAAATAGTTATCCACAGTTATTGTATTTTATAATTTGCTTTTGAAGAATTAAAGAAGGTTGAAAATAAAATGGTTAATCTTGAAAAAAAAGTTTTGCAAGACATATTTGTCTTTCCAAATGTCATACACTGTGAACTTTAACAGTACAGTACTGTATATTGTTTGACCTGAAAGATTTATAACACTTCCAGCTTTTAAGTGCCGCATTAAATATCTTGGAGGGTCTTTTGTGACACTGTCCCTTTAAATACAACCCGTCCCCAGTGCGCGTGCGCAGCTTCTGTTTAGTTTTCTCCAACCTGATGAACTGTCTAGTGTCGCTGCGCTAGCAAATCCATCGCTGCCTTCTTGTCATGTTTTGAGCACAAGAGCGGTGTTTTGTCCTACTGGAATACAAGGAGACACTACCACAACATGCTGCCAACGAAGTCTACGCTTGAAGGTGCTTGAAATGCCGTGGGAATAGACCAGAAGGACCAACAACAGTTCAAAGTATTTGCTCAATGCCCCAGTCGGCAAGAATAGCCTTCGAGTTCCCACATCACACCACATCCATGTTGACTGCGGCAGCCTTTCCACTGGGTCTACAAGCACCACAACCCCTTTGTTCTACTGTGGACAAGATACGGTTAAATCACGGTGGTTTGTGGAAAGACCATGGCATGTTATAATGTACATCCCTGTTTTAGTCTGAAGGGTTGTTTACGCGTTAAAATGGCTGCTGAAATGGCATTTGGAAGAAAGCAGTCTTGAATCATTGCAGTAACGTTTAATTACCTAGCAGAGAAAACAGCAAATAAGCTACGGAGAGTAACGAATAATGTTTTAGCCAGGCACAGTATTCAACGAGTTCGCTGCTAAATTAGCTTTAATCGATGCTCGGCTTTTTCTGTAGGTTCTTCCAACAAGAGGTGGGGTGAAGGGAATTCCTCCCACTCCAAATCTATGCATGCGGTTAACAGGCAGCCTTTAAAACCCTTGGCTAACGTTACGTTTTAATAGCCATTTTGCTTTGTACACAGGCTAAGCTAAGACTAAATGTAAGTATGCCTAGCACTCGACGAATATGCAGGACTTCTTTGTTTTAATTGAAGCACCCTGAACAGCCGAAGCTTTTCCCCAAAAAGCAGAACTAAAGGCCCCGGTGTTTCACTCGGCTTGGTTGACCTGGAGGAAAAAATGGATCCTGGTGGGAAATGTAAGACTGAACTGTTACTCTTTGGACCCAAACTAGCCACCCACGGCGACTTGCGGGGTATCAACAGATACTTGGTGGTCTGTGTTTTGTTTTACTTTGTACTCTACACTCACGCCTCCCCGGCGAAACCTTGTGACAAGAACTGTCTCTCTGGAAAATGTATCAACGGATCCTGCGTCTGTGACCGAGGATGGGTTGGAGACCAGTGTCAGTACTGCCATGGCAGGTTCAAGTAAGTGATTTATTTTTGAACATCTGATTACTTTAGGTGTCAGAGCCTCCCAATGTAGGTTAGGATCAAATGGGATCAATCGGAGGCTGTTTTCCATCAAACTACAGTGTCAGTAGGATATTGGCACACAGCTAAAACAATCCTTGGTGCACACAGGATTTTAGGAACATGTCTTACAATAACTGTCTAACAGGACTAACAGAAAAGCCTTTTAAATACTCAGTAAACAATCAGACTGTTGCTCACAATGTAAACAATTTCTCTGAATGAACTAGCAGCCTCCACAGACCTTTTGAACACAGTGCTCAAGACTTATTTTAATATTTGATCAACATATCTGAATACAAATACTTGAATTGATTACTAGCAAAACTATTGGATGACATTACCCAATTTATTGTAACCAATATATTTATTTGGTGTACACAAGTATCAGAAAAGCCAACCACAATTTACAAAGCCCAGAGTTATTCATTACAAAGTGTGTGTTCAGTGTGACTAAAAGTCCACAAGATTAAGAAATTCAGCTTAGTAGCATAAAACGCAATGAAAAGCATTACATCTTCACTGTTTATAAACTGCAACGTTTACTAATGTCTGTTATTTTCTGTCTTATAGTTTATTTTAGGCTTTGGTGGATTGACTAATTGTTTAGTTAAAATGTCTTATTTAGCCTGTAGCCTCCCACAGTCCTTCAATTCGGGCTTAGTGATTTGTCAGTGTATCTTTGGAGATATACCCACATGTCTAAAGTTGACTAGTACAGAAAGGAATGTACCATTATCTTTCGCAATCAATCTGCACTTCTGAGCATAGACAAGAAAAAGAAGGCTCTAATATACACTGTTGTATTTGCATTGCGTTTGCATTGATTCCACATAAAATCCTTTCAGAAATAAATTCCTTTAGCTTCTGCCAGAGAAAAGAGCCTACTGTGGCTTAGAGGAAACATCTGCAACTAATTTAGCATATGCCATGCAGCCTGTCTATGGGGATGACATCTTTTGTTCCTAAATTGAAGAATACGATACACATGTAAGAAAACACCATGTCAACCCCACAAAAAAGGCAATGAGTTAGGGATTGTTTGCTCATAGGTAGTAGTTAGGTGAAGGCAGGAAAACAAAAGTGGCCTAAGGATAAACGTTAAACTACTATGCTATAATCATATTGAAAGTGACTCTTGACATGAACATCTGACGGCTTCTCAGTACATCTAACGCTTTGATCACAGTCATTACCATTGGTCCTGAATGTTAATGAGTTTGTAATGTGAGAATTTAACTGTGAGCTTCTCTTTTTAGCAGTTGAATGTGGACAAGCATGATCATAACACATTGCTGCATTAACACATGTTTTGGCTTCCTACTTAACACTTGTGAAATCGTGTCTTGTGAGTTATGAATCATCACAGAGTCCTTTTTGATATTATCCGTTTAAATGTCTGATTTTAAACATGAAAGCACAGAAAGCGTTTAGGGACTGTCTCTTGAACAGGATAGGGTTTCCCTGTGAGGTCCAGAGTGCGGCATGAAACATTCATCACTCCTGGATGCCTACTCTGCCTTAATTCATTGCTGGTTGGTGTTTATAATGATCAATAGGCTTTGCATAAACTCTATCAATCTGCAGATAAACCCCAAACGGACCTATCATATAACATGCTTTCGTGTAGTAATGTGAGTAGTAAACAAAACAATTTTCAGGACATATTTGAAGCCATGTCTCAAGATTATAATATGCATACCATTGCATCTTGGTTACTAACCCATCTTGATTCCATTGTCTTGGCAAAACCTCTGAATTGAATGTGTGTTACATCATGTTTTGCATCTAAAGCGAATGCTGTGGACATACAAATAAATAGAATTCCCTCCCGGTGTTACTCAGACCACCCACAACAGCCCAATATGTATCTGTGAAGCTTTCAGAGTCATAAAAAGTATCCGGCTTTCAGTGTTCCAGTGATTTCAAGGACTGAATGTTATCAAACCTAAGTATCTCATATCTAATCTGTTACAAAAAAAACAAACGTCACAGCTATTAGAAACTACCGTAGTCTAAACCAAGTAATCAGTCCCCTCATTTCTTTTCAATTCATTCCGAGTTTGTTTGCACAGTTTTGTGGGCGGCTTACACACAGAGAGTGACGAATGTTGACTTAAAAGTTAATTGCGACACACTACAGTAGTATTTAGCTTGAAGAATATGAAAACAAATAAAAAATGTTTCAGGCATGGGCAGAAAGAAGTGTTCCGTTGAGTTTTTTGGTCGACAGGAATTGACTTTGGACTGACTGACCGTTTTCTTGGCTTCTTATTTTGAAGCTTGTTACTGAATGCAGTGTGTGACTCTTTCGTTATGCTTCAGTTCTCTTTCATAGAAGACTTTGAACCTGGACAGGAGAGCTGCTTCACAAGGCACATTTCTTAACTTTTATTCTCAAAAATAAATATTTTGAATAAGATTTGTTACTTGTCAAACTTTGGAAATCATCGAATTACACAACACTCTTCTAAATGCACTTAAAGATGAACAAAATGTTTGGGTGGCGTCATTTGTCTGTACCAACTAATAGTGTTACTGGTTATGAAATACAATTAGCATTTTGAACATCTCTGTGATTTCTGACTGTTTTTGAATGACCACAGGACCTGCTATTGGGCCGCTTCAGGGTCATTTCTATAGGATTTCAATAAGTGATTTGACAGACATTAGCTCACGCTTAAAAAGCTATGTATAATATATGAAGTGGTATGGAATATGTTTAAACCAACATTGACTTTTTATTTTAGTGTTTTTATGTTTTACAGAATGTCTACTGTCTTGAAATCAACACATCAAGATCATTATTTAGGATGTTTTCCATTACTTTTACTTCTTTGACTTGACATGCAAACAAAGAAATATACCTTGCAGCGGATTGCATAAACATCAACCAAGTGTGATTGAATGACCATAAGAAGAATTGTTTCTTTGGATTACAAATATATTTCTGTCATATGACCTTACCAACCTAAGGCAACACATGACTTCTGTGCTGACTGCTGATCTCTGATCTTCCAGGTTGACGGAGCCCTCAGGATATCTCACAGATGGTCCAATCAACTACAAGTATAAAACAAAGTGCACATGGCTCATCGAGGGCTTGTAAGTACTTTTATTAATTGCTGTGTCTTACAGAAGCTGCGCATGCACAGACAAATTCAATTATGCAGTGTATCTTTGCTGAAAGGAGTGTCATGTTGCTTACACAGCATCACACAGCGACTCTGTTTGACTGCTACATTTAATCAGCAATCATTCGGAGAGCGGAAGAATCCCTGTGTCTGTTGCTACTTGTTTTTGTACAAAGGACAGAGCTGTTCGGAAACTTTATCAATGTAACAGAAAGAGAAGGCATCCTATTTCAAAAAATAACTTGTATATTTACTTTTTTATTCTTGTATTTCTATGCTTAAGTATGTCATAAATAAGTTGATATAACATCCTGTGACATCCTATTCGATGGGAGGCCCACATGTCTATATCCTGCTAGTTGTAAAATAAACGTGTGTGTTGTTTAAAGGTGGGGTAGGTAATTTTGGAGAAACCAGCTCGAGTGCGCTAGAATTTGAAAATACACAGCCGGAAAAAATCTGCCACTCCCTTACAGAGCCCCTCCTCCAACACACGCGAACGCGCACATGACCAATGAGGGCACGAGATAAGTTTGTGCACTGATGAAAGGCTGACAGGCAGGTAGGCCATCCAGTTACTTTAGCCGGGCCGGCTCAGATGATTGGTCGTGCTTTTTACAGTACTACGGCTTCCACAGATGACATTTTTTTATGGATTTTTTTGTCGAAGCACTTCAGATATTCATTGCTATCGGGATGTTAAGAGCATTCCATGGAATATAACAAAATGTGTATCTCGAGCCGGTTTCTCAAACTTACCTACCCCACCTTTTAAATGTTTATAAATGAAACCTAAACCCTGTCTTTGATTGTTTGTTCTGCAGTCCAAATGCGGTTCTTCGGTTAAGATTTAACCACTTTGCTACAGAATGTAGTTGGGACCATATGTACGTCTACGATGGCGACTCGATATTTGCTCCGCTGGTTGCTGTTTTCAGGTAAAGAAAAGTGGATTGAAACGTTATGGTTCTTATGAAGTCATTTTAAAATCAGCAACAAATACTGATTGTTTAAAACAATTCCAAATAGATGTATTTTTTTTTTTTTTAAGACATGAGCTTGTCGCAATTTGTTGTAGCTCATCATCACTTAATGCATCATGTGTCTGGTCATCCTGATTTAGCAGAAACATATGGATACTTTACTGTAAACTACAATTGGGGTGAGTTATCAGAAAGTGAATGTTCTGCATTGTTTTCACAGTGGTCTCATCATACCGGAAATACGAGGAAATGAGACGGTTCCTGAGGTTGAGACTACTTCGGGCTACGCACTACTTCACTTTTTTAGCGATGCTGCATATAACCTTACGGGGTTTGAAATATTTTATTCGTAAGTATGCAGACTCTACATTGAAGCTTAAACTACCATAAAATAATACCTTACATTGTTTATATCTTTACATTTGGACTCCTCAGGAATAACTAATTTCATTGATGTGGCACCTAAGGCCCTCACCTGTGTTAAAGACATTTCGTTTTATTTATAATAAACTACAGTGGACTGCTTACCAGTTCCATTTATTCCTCCTTAGTGTTGATGGATGGTTAATGTTTCTGCGTCCCACATTTCAGCAACAAAAAAGCTGGTACAAGTGCTTTTCTGCTGGACTAAAAACCTACAGCAACAATCCCCGCTAATGTCCAGTGACCTGCCCGATTGTTTTTTCATTTATTACCAATCCTTTTATCCCCAGCTCCTTTGCCAAACGCCGGATGATACTCATAAATCTTCCCCAGTCTCCAAGTAAAGCTCTGTGCGTGGCCTGAAAAGCGCATGCAAGTGTTTGACTTAATGAAAACCTCCTTCTGTCCAGGATCAACTCTTGTCCCAATAACTGCTCCAGTCATGGGAAGTGCACGCCCGGTAACTCGGCCGCCAGCAGAGTGTACTGTGAGTGTGACAAGTACTGGAAAGGAGAGGCCTGTGACATCCCATACTGCAGGAACAACTGCGGCAGCCCCGACCACGGCTACTGCGACCTCACCGGGGAGAAGCTGTGCGTCTGTAACGACAGCTGGCAAGGTAACAGACAGCTCCGTCTAAACCAGGGGTGTCCAAACTACGGCCCGGGGGCCAAATGCAGCCCGTTGTCCATTTCTAATTGGCCCTCAGCAAATTCTCAAAGTATAATGGTATATGGCCCCCACCTGAAACTCGTGATTGTCTTATATTATACTTCTTAAATATATATGTGAGCCTATATTACACGATAGATTTCATGTGTTAATAAGCCCACTTTTCAAATTATTCAGTCAATTAGAGCGGAGAACATGTTCTAACAAATCCTAGTTTTATTTCCATAACAAGCTTTAAATAGACCCTTCATATTTCCCCATATTATAAGCAATCGGAGGCTTCTGTTTTAAGGGAAGAGCTGCAAACAGAATAAAGTAGACCCTATGGAGAGCTGTGATGTTTTCAAGTAGAAAGCACACTTGACCTACATTTGATTGATTTTGCAGAATTATAACTTAACCTAAGTGAGGGGCACAGCCCTTTGTATGTTTTTCTGTAAAAAAGTTTGGACACCCCTGGTCTAAACTCAACAGATGTTTGCAAACCTTCAGATCCAAACTGATGGTTTGAAGTGTGTTAAACTAAGTGTGATTTAATTACTATGCCATTGAATGTTACATGTGGTCAGGCACATAAGAAGCTTTAGTGAAAGACTGCTTGCACGACGCACCACTCAATGGAATGGTGAATGGACTAGTATTAGGATTTACTTTATTATCAGCAGCCAAACCGCTTGAAAAAAATGGCTAATTCACAAATATATATATTGTAATTTACATGTTATATGTTGTAATGCTATGTGTACATTTTTACACTAACTTCTTATGTTTGTATAGATATTTGTATTCTATTTCATTTATGAGACATTTTACTTTAACTTCCTATGTTATGTTATGTGTATATGTGTTTTCTATTGCACATTCTAACTCAATATTTATATTCTACATTTATTTTATTCTGAAATTGAGCACATGTTTATGTTACACAATTCCCCCGTGATAGATATAATATTCTGAATCTGATTTGTATACATCCTAACTGCAATACATTCTTTAGATGGTTTTTCTAGCGATAAAAATAAATGATTTAAAGGAACACTAACAATAAGAAGTCCCAGCACCTGTTAAGCATTCACACACTTATAATAATAACTATAGTCATTTCCCCACATTCATAATACGCACTTACTGTATGACTCATGTGCAACATACTTTCAACATCCCATGCTGCCGCTCCTCCCATGTCTGCTGTAATGGTTATGTAAAAGATGAAGACTGTGTTAGCAGACAATTGTGAACAGCTGTGTTGTTTTGTGTCACAATGCTGATCGGTAAGCCCCGTGACAGTTATTATTATTATTATTATTATTATTATGTGCCTCCAGCTGGAGGGTACCAAATGCTTTCACGTGATGAAAGTTGACAGTATCATTAGCAGAGGCATGCGCTTTTTCAGCACGGCCTTCATTCACACACAGTTTAACATATTTACACCTCCTTGCCTGTCATGTTCGGTTAAGGAGTGGTAATGCTTTTGTTTAGAGGCATGTTTGCTCTTCAGAATGAGTAGGAATTAAAATATGTGGCGGATACTTCTGAAAAGTCCCATCCCTTAAATAGATTTAGCTAGAAGTTCTTGGTCTTAAAATAGTTTTATGTTTTTATTTTAGAAATGTTGAGCTGAGATCTCGAGTAACATTGTTTTTTCCTCATCCTATCTCTTAGGCCCAGACTGCGCTCTCACTGTTCCTTCAACAGAGTCCTTCTGGGTTCTTCCAAGCGTCAAACCCTTTGGCACATCACTCGCCAGAGCTTCCCATAAGGCTGTGGTGCAGGAAAAGGTCATGTGGGTCGTGGGCGGATACACGTTCAACTACAGCTCCTTCCAGATGATTCTCAAGTAAGTCATGTTGCATAATATTTATTTTTCCACATGCAAAGAATCCGTTTAAAAAAAAACATGTAATGGCAACATCCAAAGTAGGGGAACCCAGAACTCTGTCAGGGCTATTTCAATGGGTGAAAAATATTGCACCCATCTGCCCCATGGCTTGAATCTGTACTACAATGAAATGTGTCCTTATTTGGCCCATGCTACACCCTTCCACCGTGTTCTATTAAAATCGGGCCTGTAGTTCTACCTCAATCCAGCTGACAAACAAACAAACCAAATTGAAAACATCACACTGGTGGAGGTAATAGGAAGTGTTTAGTTAGTTTGTCCAGTCTACCGTGAAATGGGGTTTAACAAACAAAAACACCAAAACCTGCCCTGACTGCTCAATCATTTTCGTTTCCACTAAAGCCTGGGTAGAGTTTTATGTACTCCTTAAAAGCTCATGTCTTAGATTAAGTTCTGAACATGCCCTTCCTTTAAATACTCGCATATCGTATACACATCTAAGCAAAAACAACTAAAGGGAGAAATGCAGGAAAATGTGATGACTCCTTAAGAATTCCATCGGACTGTTTGTCCAAACCACTAAGTGCCGGATTTAAAGTTTCAATGGTGTGCTTTGTGAATGTATAGGTGTTGCATTCACTTAGCCTAATTGAGTATTAAGTGTTCCTTGAGGGCTCTTAAGAACTGACTTACAGTATGTGCTGAGTCATGTCCTCTTAGAACTGAGTTAAATTGCCACCGTTTGTGATTAAATCACCTGATCGTGAGATGAAAATAGATGTACTTGAAGTGAGGGAGGGACATCAACATTTGTGCAGGTAATTCAATAAGTTTCAGAAGTGTTCATGCATTAGAGTGTAATGTTCTGTTGCTTTTCTCTGCAGCTACAACCTGGAGAGTGGCATCTGGAGCACCGTTCCCGTCAGTGGTGGCCCCGTGCCAAGATACGGCCACACTCTCGCTGCCTACCAGGTAAACACACGCAGGCCTCTTCCTCTCTGGGTAAAGTAGGATTTAAAAAACACCACAACTGTCCGTAGGAGGGAGGCAGAATTAGAAAGGCGAAAGAGAGAAAATAAAGTTTGCTCATACTGGGAATTTTTGTTCAGTATTATAATGTCATCTTCAAATAGCTACATGTCTTTTATAAACAAAGCTTAGACACATGACTCAGTGTTTCCCCTAGGATGGAGTCATAGCAGCGGTGCTAAGGCACGTGGGCCCAGTATAATGTGAGCGCGGAGCGCGTGGAATTTTTTAGTGTGTGCGCGTGCGAAGTGCGCCCCGCCAATTTGTTTCTATGTGTCAGCCATGTGTCAGCACAAGAAAGGCTCTTGAGGCCTAGTACCAGGGCCGGTTCTAGACAATTTGCTGCCCTAGGTGAGATTTTAGGCGACATTTTATGTGTAAAGAATAAATGAAAAATCTCTACAAAAGACAAATACACTGCAGAAACGTATTGACATAGGTAATAGACGTCAAAATGGCTTCAAATATATTCAGTATTGTATGAACATGTTTGAATTGGGGGGTGGACGTCACATCCTCTAGGGGGGTCCAGTAAAATGCTTCAATCTGGTGCACTTTGAGCACACAATTACTAGAGACCTGATGTAGGGGGTACAACTCTAAAACGCCCATATGAAAAAGATCGGTTTACATTTTAATAATCAAATAAGTATGTGAACACAACCAATAACCTACCATAGCCAATAACAAATAAATGTAGCTTATTTTATTTTTGTTGTTCATTCATATCTTATTTTTACCTCGTTAACATTGATTTATTTATGCATATTTTTGTATCTCTCCAACTTTAAACGATATTTTTGGTTAAGTATACATTGGAATGATTTCAAACCTGTTTTTATTTATCCTAATAATTATAAAGGCGTGCCTTGGAAATATGTGTTTACATAATTTGTGGTCAAAACGTTTGAGACCCACTGAGATAACTTAGACTAAAATTAACTATCTAAATACTCAGAGAGTCCTTAACCTCACTGAGCCTCTCAGTCTGACAGGAGAGCTCTCCTCCACCCTGGTTGTAGAAACATCTACATCTTATATCCGTTAGCGCAGCAAGCACCAGATTCTAATAACAACAGCGCCGGTACCGGTGCGCCCTCTCGCTTGCTCGCTCTCTTGCTACCACGCTCGCACTTTGGCTGTGAGCTGCGGGCGCCTGATAAGCCAACATCCCCCACTTTCATCACTTACAGCGCCCACCGTACAGGGCAAATTAAACGTGTAACCGGGGTGAAAAGGGTGTTACATTTACTTAATTATGAATGTTGTTACATCAAGGCCGAACATTTGGATGAGTGCCGACGTCCAAAATGTTTTTTCCCTCCCAGAGCTACCAGCGCAGCGCCCCCCAGATCTGGCGCCCTAGGCGACCGCCTGTGTCGCCTATGCCAGTAACACAAATACTACAAATCTACATAACAAACAATCAAAAAGGAAAAAGGGTCGCCACTTATTATTATTATTATTTTTTTGGGTACCTCACCTAGCAGCGGCGCTCATATTTCAGCAGCGGCGCTGCGCCGCCACTATTCGTATATAGGGGAAACACTGCATGTTTGTAATATATCCATGGGAACATTTCATATTCTCAGTGTGCAATATTCCTCTTTATCGCAACAGTAAGTAGATGAAGGAATTACGACAAAACAGGCTTGAAAAGGAACATTTTCTAGCATTATGTTCTGGTTTTAAAAAAAGTATTTATTTCAACGCTTCTCTGGACAGTCTTGCACTAATGTACATTCTCAAAGATATTGAAGTGACTTTTATTTTGTATATATTGATTGTTGTGCTTTTATTTAGGTCTTAATGTGTGCATATGTATAAATGTGTATTTTGATTGTGTATAGGTAAGTACATATTTTTTATATTTGTTTTGGTTTTTGGGATTGTGTGAAACGGTATTTCGATCTTTCTGTCTGTAAACACAAACTGAAAGATTGACAATAAAGTTGACTTTGACTTGACGCACTTTAACCTTCCATCCACTTTTATAGCAGCAGGTATCACTTTAAGCTTATTTGAAGGCCTCTCTTCTCCTCAGGATGATATCTACATGTTCGGGGGGAAGCTGGAGGCGGGTTTGATGAACGCGACGGAGGAGCTGTGGGTGTTCAACTTACCCAGCCGGACGTGGCAGCGGAGAACTCCTGCGGGGGGTGCACAGACTCAGATTTACGCGGTGGAAGGGCACTCGGCCCACTGCGTGCTACTAGACGAGGGCGAGGCCATCATGCTTGTCATCTTTGGCTACTCCCCCATCTACAGCTACGTCAGCAACGTCCAGGAGTACAACCTGAGTGAGTCACGCAGCTTTAAGTAACTGTTTGTTTCTCATTCTACCAGCTCCCGTTTGTTTTATTATGACGTTTAGTACATTGTAGGCAGGGTTCGAGTTATAAACTGAGCTCTATGGGGGTCTTTAAAACTAAAACTTAAAAACTTAAAAACTAAAACTTAAAACTTAAAAACTAGGGCTGTCAGTCGATTAAAATATTTAATCGCGATTAATCGCATGATTGTCCATAGTTAATCGCACATTTTTTATCTGTTCTAAATGTACCTTAGAGGAATATTTTTCAAGTTTTTAATACTCTTATCAACATATGAGTGGACACATTATGCTTTATGCAAATGTTTATTATCATTTGAACAATGACAAATATTGTCATGAATATTAAACACAGCAACCTCTGAACATAAAAAAAATCTGCCTCAATTCAACCTGGAACCTCTCTCATATAATACTGTGTGTGTGTGTGTGTGTGTGTGTGTGTGTGTGTGTGTGTGTGTGTGTGTGTGTGTGTGTGTGTGTGTGTGTGTGTGTGTGTGTGTGTGTGTGTGTGTGTGTGTGTGTGTGGACTTTTTTTTTTTACACTGTCCCGCTGCCTGGCTGCCTGCATAAAGTCAAGTGCTCGGCGCAGTTGTCGGCGAAATGTCGCTCCTCTGTTTTAATTTAAACAGCTCCTTATATCCGTTAGCCCAGCTAGCTAGCACCAGATGCTAACAACAACAATACACGTAAGGTCTCTCTCTCGCTCGCTCGGGCCACACATACACACACCCTCCCAGTCCTCCCAATGCAGTGGGTGCCTGCCGGTGAGCGTGGAAGTGTGGTCTGCCTCTGCCGCAAGCGGACGGCAGGAGCGGGGCTGTCAGCATCAGCTTGTAGATGGTATTTTAAACTTGATGCGCTCTGAAANTTTTCTGCTTGGGTTTACTGTACTGAAAATTGCTCATAAAATATGACTCATAAATAATGATTTGTTTATACAAGAAAAAAACTGTCCTGACAACATCAGAATGTAAGACTCTTCCTCTTTAATGGAAATGATGCTTTTGGGCAAACACTCTCTCTCCTCATCTCACCACAGCTTCACATCGCCTGGCACCGGAAGAAAATTGTGAAGTGGACTGATGATTTTAGTTTGGTCATGCCTGCTGTATTCATGAGAACATCGTTTGTTGTCAGTCTGCTGGATTTAGATACACATGTTTGTTCCAAATAGAGCCTTGACATCTCATTTCCCATTACATTACAAGTTGAATCCTGAAGGCAAATAAGAAATTATACGTGTGTAATTATTTTCAGTAGACTTTTAATGGCATTTTTGATTCCCAGGTGTACATTTGTCAGACATTTATTCCCTAGCATGGTGGAACAGAGGCAGAGTTTGGATTTGTTTTATCTTGCATTTTAACATCCGGTTGCTCTGGGTTTTTAGTATTTTGCCGTGTCCCCACAGCGGCTTTCTCCCTGGGTGGGCCTGAGGAAGATCAACGTGTCGTACTGGGGCTGGGAGGACATGTCCCCCTTCACTAACAGCAGCCTGCGATGGCTGCCCGGAGAGCCCAGTGACTCTGGGTTCTGTGCCTACCTGGAGGAGACCCAGGTGTCCGGCCTGAGAGCCAATCCCTGCACGGCCACCGCCCACGGCCTCATCTGTGAAAAAGCTACCGGTAAGACGCGCAAATATTTCATAAATATGTGATCTGTTTGTAATATGACATGGGTATATTGTCATATTTATACATTATTTCCGTATGCACTATTTATTGTATTGTACAATATTTAAATTCACATTTGGGATTATCTCAATATAATTGATAAAATATATATTTTTATTTTTCTTGCAACTTTCTTGCACAGTTATGTCAATTCCCCCCTTCCCTCGCTGTTTTATTTTATTTAATGTTACGTTTAATTTATTTAGCATTATTGAAGTAGGTTCAAGGCTTTTATTGTCATGTGGTAGCTACAGTGTAGTTATGACAAGGAAAATCTTAGGTCACAGTCTCCTCCAACAGTGCAACACAATAAAACTGATAAAATAGCAAGTAATTAAAGTGGAACTATCATGCTATATTTGAAACATATATTGTAGGGCCATACCTATATAAAACATGTCTGTGAAGTATTTTTTTCAAAATACCAAACAGATCATGGATTTTAGCCATGCCTCATTTCGCTCTATTTGCTCTTTTCCAGCCCTGTTTTTGCAAAGGCTGCTTCTGTGAGAAGTCTTCTTCGCTGCTTTTGTGGCAGACTACAGTGCCACTTACAGGCCTGGCATATGTACTACAGCGTCTCCAGTGCTTTCGAGCGGTCTCTCATTCCCCTGATAGGTGGAGAGTTGCCCATATAGGCGGAGCACCCCTTTTCTGACGTCAGAAAAATTCAAATAATAATCAGATCCGTTCCAGCCCCGTTTTTAGAGATTTGGGTATGGAGGAAAAGAGAGAGGGTTGTGTTTTCTGACACTTGGTGAGTTCCCTGACACACCGGGGACACATATTCATGTATAAAAGACGTACAAAAGTGTATTTTGCATGATAGGTCCCCTTTAATTAAAATAGAATATAAGTAGCCTGGGATTTAAGATTTTAGCTATAGTCTGGCATAAAGCATCTCTTCTCTTTTTGAATATTTTTTGCATGGCTGTTATTCAATAACAACACATGCTCTTGTTCATATGACTATAAAGCTTTTGGAGAAAGAGTCTTTGTCATGTTTTTTTTTCTGTCTCGTCCTTTGCTGTCCAGGAAACCCCAACCAGAGCAGCCGTCCAGCCTGTAAGAAGCCGTGCTCGCTGCACACCAGCTGTGCTAACTGCACCAACCAGGCCATGGAGTGCATGTGGTGCGGAAATGCCCAGCGCTGTTTGGACTCCACCGCCTACGTCGTCTCTTTCCCCTACGGACAGTGTCTGGAGTGGCAGACTCGAGACTGTTTGGGTAAGTGTCTTTTACTGAACTTCATCTAAATGAGGTGTCTTTAAAGCCCAGAGTCCAGCATTAAGGTGCAATAAGCTTCACCAGATTGGCTTCTGTAAGCAGTCGATATTCATCACTGCCAGAAAGGAGCTTAAGGGGGGAAAACCGCTTAAAGCGGGAGGTGTTTGTATGTGATTTCCTGTGATTGGCTATGGAAGCTTTTTGTTTTGCTTTGCTTTGTAATGGCCAATTACTCTCACATATCGTCAACGCAACTCTTAAGATTTCCCGGTTGACCATGCTGCAGATGGGACCTTTACCATTAGCTGACTTTAAGTGGTTTATGGACAGTTTTAGAGAAGCCTACAAATATGTTAACACTGTGAATGAAAACAGAAGCATAATGGCAATGGCTGCAAATACAGTAATGTTGATGTGAATGTTATTGTAGTTTTTGGAGAAGAATCAGGGGATACATTTACCCAGGGAACAACTAAGGAGCTGTCGCAATTTAGTCGAGCCCTGCGCTGAAAAATGCTATTTAGCCAATGCCCTTTTTTGAATGAACAGTAATAAACATCAGAATGAAAGTGTTCCCTTTTCAGGCTGTATCTTAATTAAATAAACCTTTCAAAGATGAACTATGATGCAGACTATAGATTAAAAATGTATTCCAGATGGAAAATACTAGACTAAATGTCTGTTGGTTAGAAAAGAAAAGGGAATCAGAATTTTAAAAAATCAATTCGAAGCCATTTGATCCTTAAATATTCTGTACAAGTACATACCATTTGTATAAAAGCACCACTGGGGATAACAAAAATAATAACAACTTAATTTGACCTCTTTATTAAACCCAAATTATAAGGTGCTATACTCGCAAGACAAATAATTAAAATGATAGAAAAAGGGATTACCTACCAGTAGGGCTGTACCGGAATATCCGAATATTCGTTCGTTGGAGTACTATTCGGGTTTCAATTTCGTTTCGTCTTTTCTTTTCTTGAATTTATTGAAATCTCCAACATCAATGTAAGAGCTTGTGCCTCTTCGGGGGGGGCTAACACTTAACCATAAACGTTATCGTTGACTTTCTCCGTCTTTATATGTAGATATGACTTTTTCTCCATTCATCTCCGTCACGTTGTTTCCATAGCAACAACAACTTCCTGTCAACTGCGCTAACTCTCCTTCCCCGCGCGGAACGAATATTCGCTGCTGATCACTACCGAATATCCGGAGCCCGAAAAATGGTATTCGGGACAGCCCTACCCACTAGGGTTGGATGGATAGAGTCAAACAGGCTTAAATTCAAACATGAACCAACAAAACACATCTGCTCTCTTTGCTTGGTATTCTTTATTTGTCATCATATAAAAAGTCAAATTAAATAAGTACTGGACACATTCAGAGGTACCCTGTTAACAGTATTTCCCCGTCACATTGTCAAGTTGTTTAGAGAGTTCCCTCACCTGAAGGTCGGCGCGGCTCGACTGTGTGATGTTTGAATTATAGCCTTGGTTCTGTCGGATCGTAAAAACATCTCTGACCGGTTTAGCGAGTAACACATTTAGGGAGCTGAAGGGTGCAGTCTCCAATTCATTTGCGTCAGATGGTGTTAGGTAACCCCGTTTCTGAACAGGGTGGATATTTGTCTTGAGGAATGTGTCCCTTATGGCGTGAAGGACAGAGAAGGGTATCCTATACATGTTCTCTGTTTTCTTTTATTCTCTTTCAGCTTCCTCTGTCTGACTTTGCTCCTCCACATTAACTCTTTTCAATCACCACTTAAGTATTGAATGACCTCACCTACTTTACTTCTTTACTCCTCATTTCCAGTGCATCAAGAGGCTTTCTTTATGCTGAGCAGACCGAATACATGCACTTAAAAACTCAACCTTGTGATAAAAAGCCCTGTAGTATCATAACAAATGCTGAGTGTGAGAAATGCATTTTTTCTCAGAAAAAAAGGCAATTTTTGCAGATTTGACATTGCACAGGAAGTTATGTGTGAGTTTCTAAAAGTTGTTGGTTTGTTGTTTTTGTATGGGGAAGGACTCTTGTTATGTTCTTTAACAGCAGTTCTAGTGATCTCTACCTGTCAGGTAAGTAGTGATCCAAAAATCTCTTTAGCGTCAGTGTAGAAATATCTTGCCAGATCAAACACATCAACATCTCTGTGCCACAGTATGAACACGCCCTCTGTTTCATCAACAAGAGTGCATCTCCTTGAGCTGCACTTACTTTACAGACAGACTTTTAAAAATGCAAGGTCAAGTTGACTTTTGATGTTTTCAAAGCATATTCCTCCGTGCTTGATTTGATCGTTAATATTAGGACCAGCCTGTTCTTCCACATCAATGTCCCTGACTGGGTGTATTCTAGTAAAGTAAACTTTTTTGTATTACTTTAAGCAATAGAGGCAAACATTTAAAGGGGACCTATCATGCAAAATGCACCTTTGTACGTCTTTTATACATGAATATGTGTCCCCGGTGTGTCAGGGAACTCACCAAGTGTCAGAAACAGAGACTGCCAAGGCACANAAAGGGGACCTATCATGCAAAATGCACCTTTGTACGTCTTTTATACATGAATATGTGTCCCCGGTGTGTCAGGGAACTCACCAAGTGTCAGAAAACACAACCCTCTCTATTTTCCTCCATACCCAAATCTCTTAAAAAGGGGGTTCAACGGATCTGATACAGACTGATCCAGATTTGAACACTTTTCTGACGTCAGGACGGTGGCGCTACGGCTATTGGGCCAACTCCACCAATCAGGAGGAGACAGCCACGGACATTGCCGTTCGAAAGCGCTGGAGACGCTGTAGTACATATTTCAGGCCACCTGATGGTGCTGTTCTCACTGAATCCGAGCATGAAAGGCAGTGTTAAATTGAGCGAAATGAGGAATGGATCAAATGCATGATCTGTTTGCTATTTTGAAAAATAAAACGTATAAATATACCTAATATAGGTATGGCCCTACAATATATTATTCAAATATAGCATGATAGGTCCACTTTCAATTCAAATGTGGGTATTTACTGCTTTATGTAACATATATGACGGTAAAATGGATCTTTCCTTGTTTGCGAGAAACTAACTTTTTTATGATTATTACCTCTGGGAATAAATAATTTGTAATTCAAATGTTCTGTTATTAAATAGAAGGAAAGATAATGAATCGATTAATAAAGCAAAAACAATCTGCATATTTTCTCTTTCTAAATAAAGTAATTAGTTGTACCCAAAGCCTTTTTTTTTAATAGTTTAGTATAATTTATTTTAAAGCAAAATATGCCATTAGAAATTTCAGGCAATGATCATTCAGCATCTCTGCCATTAAAATGCTCACAATGCTTAAGTTCCATGAAAATTGGATTTCTACATATTTTAAGAGTTACTGGTCTTAATGCTGCTCTGTGCAGAACACTGTCGTAATGGAGGAACCATTTTCTTAAATTGAATAGAGCAGTAGGGAGAGTAAAACAGTAAACTGACATTAAAAAGATGTTTTCATATAGTAAATCCACTTACTCGTGAAGATATTGCAGCCGCGTTAAACACAGAAAAAGACGGATATCGAAATGGTGATGCTTTCATTTTGAATAATCTCTGTAGTGTCTTACCTCACAAGCAACATCAAACAAGTTCAATTTGCGTGCATTTTAAAATACACTTGAAAGCTTCCATAAATAAATAAAGTCTTCTCAGGACAATCTATTGAGTACAAGCTTTATTTGTTCTGGGAAAAGCTGTTAACACTCGATACAGTGACTTTGCCTTACAGAGCTAGTCATAATCATCATTGAATTCACGTAACGGCTCCAGGCATCAGATTTAGTTTGCTCGTGTTCACACGTATTGGTTTATCTGTCGAAATTCATGTGGAAAATGTCTGTTTTGTTTTAATGGCAGATTTCGTATGTGATCATGCGTTTGTGTTATGGCCAGACAAAAGTCCTCATCCAGCTGCTTCTCTTCTCCGAATGGTGTGTTAGTGAGAAATCTGCCACTTGCGTCATGTCGTCAAAACAGACTTAAATGGCCTTACTTTGTACTGATTGTTCTGCCGTTGTCATGGTTTCACATCCATTAGCAGAATCGCTGTAGATTTGTTTGACATAAACTGAGGTAAAAGCACTCAATGTTTGTCTCCTTTAAAATAGTAGTGGCATTTCTCCCCACCCTGAAGAGTCTGTCTGGCAGGCAAGTGGCGGCGCTGAAACTTGTCAAGCAATTAAGTGGCTTGAAAGTTCGTCCCCAAACTGACAAAACAGCGAGGTGCCACTTCACACATCACATTTAATCCTTTTATTGAACTTTGCTCAAACTTTTCTCACTGGCCTTGGCTTGTAGACACATTTTCTATCTCCTGCTATGGCTTTCCCCCCTCTCTATCGACTGTTAAATGTTCATCTCTTGTCTTCTTACGTGCTCTTAAACCTGACAGCTCGCTGGATAGCGACCAGCCTGTGTTTTCAGTGCAAAGTACGTTAATGTTCCTTAATCTGTATGTCCTGTTCAAGGCTAAGAAATGACTGAATTTGTCTGTTAAAAGGCTGAAATCTAAGCAAATAAAACCTGAAACCACATTGGACCTTTTTGTTACAATTTGCATTCTGCGGTTTGTTTCAAGGTGACTACTGGGCTAATTGAATGATAAAATGAAATGCAATTGACAAATGCAGCTAAAAAATCAATATAGAAAGAAAGAATTACGTCCCTAATAACAAAGCAATATAAACAAAGCAAAAGATTTTGGATGCAACCGTAGTTTTTCAAAGAAATATATCACAAGTGTCTCACCCCCCTCCCTCTCCTTCAGCCCAGAACTGCTCCGGCCTGCGGACATGTTCCCAATGTTTGGAGCAGCCTGAGTGCGGGTGGTGCGGAGACCCCAGCAGCACGGGGAAGGGTCTCTGCACGGAGGGCTCTTACCGTGGGCCGCTGAAGAGACCGGCGAAGCAGGGACAGCAGGTCCAGCCCTCGGACATGGTCCTGGAGCCGGGCGTCTGCCCCAAAGACAAAGGCTTCGAGTGGGCCTTCATCCACTGCCCCGGTAAATGATCCACTTCCTGTCTGTCTTACTGAAATTACAGATCATGCATCATTACTTTATCTACTTGAGAGGTTGTTCTTATGAAGGATTCTTGTTACAACTTCCCTATGCAACTTATCCCTCCCTGAGGACTTGATGCAACCTTATGCTAGTGCGGCATTTAATGCTGTCATTAAGCCCAAGACCATACAGCCACGTCATGTCATGATATGCTCACAGCTAGTTGTAATTTGAGAATATGAGATGCTCAGTGGTTACATGTTAAGGGGTTGAGGTGATTTTTCTTATTTAAGGTTTAATCCTTTAGGTCTCTTAGTTTTCCTTTTCATTCTCAAAGTTGGAATTATTTGTAAAAATCCATTTTTACTGTCGGAGAACATTCAATACAAACTAGTTTAGTATTAAAGTATGTTAGTCTACGAATCAATCTTGCATAGAATAACACTTTTTATTATTTTGACGTTTGTTTACCACACCATTAGAGTACTTTCATTTATATTTCCAATTGGACACATAGTTCATTAAAAGTGGCTGCCATTAAAAAAATAAAAATAAAATCAGATTAAATAGTAATTATTATGACATGGCAGACACAAGCTACTGACAGCTCTAATGGGTTTGTCGCTTTTCCAGGAAGCATAACAACAACAACCCTAAGTGTAAGTTCTGTTGGGATGGTGTCAAAATCCTAGCTGACTATTAGCTACAGGGCAAAAAAAGATTGTGTTACACAAATGACTCAGAATTGACTCAACAGGGTCCAATGGGACTCGCAGACACATTGAGATTGTGACTGCGAGCATGTAGGAAGAAATTACTCATTTTTTTTGTCTCTAATAATAAAAAAAGTGCTAGTTCCACCTTGTGTTAGCTTGTCTTCTACCCCCCAGCATGACAAATACAGCTGTAATATTCACAAGTTATTCAATATGTTAACATCTGGAACTTTTCTTAAATATGTAGTTAAAGATGCAGGAAGTCAGAGAAGACCTTGCAGTTGCATTTTCAACATTCGCTCTGTTTCTTTCTCAGCATGCCAGTGCAATGGCCACAGCAATTGTGTGAACGGCAGTGTGTGTGAACAGTGCCGTAACCTCACCACCGGTCCTCACTGCCAGACCTGCATGCCTGGTTACCATGGAGACCCGACCAATGGCGGCAAATGCCAGGGTGAGTGCCGCATCGCCACAGAAATGAGTCATTCTGCTCACAGGAGACTTAACGGATTTACTTGTTATCGTTTTGGTGAAGCAGTCAACTGATGTGGTTAACATCTGACCGCCTTCATCTTTTCACAATCACCTGCATATATTTTATTTTAGTTAACAATCTACATTAAGTTTAAGCAAACACTAATTACGTTCACTATTTAATTGTATTTAGAATAGACCTGCTGTTTGCGAATGGTAATTAAACTCCTAGAGGAATCTTCGCTACTCATTGAATTCTAAATAAATAAACACACAGTAATACAGCATCTTAACCAACAGAGGGCACTGTTGTGTGGATACAAATTGGTGACAGTTTCTCTGTCCTGTTTGATTAATGGGAATATTCCTCCATATGGTGGTTTCATTAACAGAAAAACAACCAAAGGAAAAACAGACATCTGGTCTCTGATGGTTTATTTTTGCTGTAGTACCTCAGCTGAAAATAACCACTCTCACTAAAGACGGTGAAATGTCAAGATTAACTGTGACTTTCTGACATTAGAGTGAGCATGGAGCAGATGTGGTACGCTGAAGGTCACATCCCCTAAATCCATGCTTTGTTGAAAAAAGAATGCGTCATCTATCTTCTTTTAGGATGTTCGGTTTATGGGTTTGACACACGTACAGGAGATTGTTTTGATATCATAAAGGCCTAATGAATATTCCAACACATCTGCACATACTTCATTTTTTCCCGGTTCTCAGGTTATGTTGCTCAGGTTTCTGTCTCTCGTCAAAAACTGTTTTGATTAGGTTTTTTAAACCGCTCATGATGCAGATTTATTATCTGTCTCTCCTGCTCATTGCTGAATAAATTGCATGGCAGCCCATCATTTATACAGCCGTTCTCATTTTCCGAGCAACGGCACATAACGTTTGCTGAACTCAACACGGAGAATGGGTGTAAACATTAGGTTGTAGCATAGGAACATGCATTCAACTAAATATAAAAATGACTGCATGTTCATGGGCGTCACTGGATACATTTGAGATTGAAAAAAGACTGGTAGAGATTCCTATTTGAGAGGAGACTTACCCACGCTTGTCCCTTATGAGACATGAAAAGCATTCCTGAGAAATTACATGGAGGCTATTGTTTGAATTGACTGTGAGCAACGCACGCACACCTCGGAGCTTTATGGTTTCAGATACCATCTGTTAATGCACAGGCTGTAACCTGTACAGTGAAACTGCACAGGTGAGCATCAGTGAAGGGAATATTCTCTTATACTTTCGGAGCCTGAGGACAATCATTACTGCATGCCAATTGATCCATGTTTTAATGTGACAGGGATCCATTGCATATTTAATGTGTGTTTTATGCACAGTGGGCCTTTAGTGAACCCTGCTATCCAGTGTGACTCGCACAAAGTACAACGAAATCCCTGTATGACACGCTGTCAATAACAACAAGTGTTGGACAAAGTGCTATGACACAGTTAAAAGCAGTGCTGTCACCTCAAATATTCATATGTACGTTCTTGTGAGATGCGTAAGAAGCACTATGTCCGCTGACCCTCTTGTAATACACCTTCTCAGTCGTTTTCATCTCGGTCAACTGAAAGGAATGAGTCAATGTTTTTTTTTTTGTCCTGCAAATGCAAACCTGAAAGGCTGCCAAACTAGAAGCACTTAAGGAGCGAATTCACACGTCTATTGCTTCACTGTTTATATTCCACACACACTCTCACACAATGCCCCGCGGGTATCCTGATGTCCTATCTAGCGGGGGGGCATATTTTCTCCGTCACTTCTCAGATCTTTGAAGCTGAGGCAATCTTTTGGGAAATACACTTGTTTACCATCTTACAAAGATCAATGTCAATTTCATCTCTGCCCGTTCAGTACAGCCGAAGAGATTTAAGTAGCCTAGCTTAGCACAAACACTGCAAACAATGGGAAACTCCTAGCAATGTGCTTTAGAGTGAAGGAAAGACAACTGTTGTGGAGATGTTATGCTTTATTGTGCCCTCAGGAGATCCTGAGCTCCAAGCTTTTAAACTGATGTTAGAGCTGCGTTTTTTTTGTTTGATACTGATATTCCTTCTTTCTCTCCCCTCTCTTCTTCTCCATCTTTTCAGCCTGTAAGTGTAATGGTCATGCAAACGTGTGCCAGGTGTTAACTGGCAAGTGCTTCTGCACCACCAAGGGCATCAAAGGAGACCAGTGCCAGCTGTGAGTACACGTGTTTACACACACACACACACACACACACACGCACACGCACAGTTACATTTCCAAATATAACCCTATTCTAGTTCCACACAACGTTATGGTTTCAGTTCACCATGCTTTTTCAAAAGTTCTGATCTGCACCATTGAGGTAAAATAAGAGAAAAACTATTAATGCTTCAACAGAAATGTACTGACTTGAGGTAATGTCAATCATAACAGATGACTGCCACCGGGCCAGTAATCAGTTCGGATAGTGCCATGATGAAACGCTTGGGGCTATTTTAAAGGTAGCCATTTTGAAAAGCGAGACAGTCACTCATTGGAGGCTGTTATATGTTGTTTGTGATACTTTTACTTAACACACCTGAATATTGGTTCAGGTATTAACAGTAGATCATATAGAAAATAAAACAAAATGATATAACATGGCAATAATACCATTTACAATACATCATAATGAAAGATAGAGACTTTGGGGAGTTTTTTTACTCTCTACCAAAAATGTTACAAACTGGACCAGTGCATCTGTCAGTTTGATTATGAATGTGTTGCCACAGCAATTCATTTCTTTAGTGATGGATTGCGGTCATAAGGAAGTCAGAGAGACACAACAAAGAAGTATACACATTAAAAAAAAATTAAGTGGATTTGTATTTGAACCCTGACTCTCAGTAACCCTTTTGTTTAAATGATATAATGGGATTTATAGATTGTGAGGTCACAGTTCATGAGCATCGATTTCTGATCACTTAAAGCAGCGCCCTTCCTTCCGATGTGGCAATTGGATGTTGTGGTATTAAAATAAAAACAGAAAACCATCAGTTGGCGTTATTGGCCACCTCCAGCAGAATTTCTGCTGATGCGGTGGATTCCCCTGGTGTGGGAGGACCATCTCCACTCAGCCGCCTGCTTTCCCAGTTGTAAGCAGAATGAACTGATGTTTTTAATACCACTAATGCAGTAAGAGATACAGAGGGGTCACTGGCAAACGGGAATGCGCACACGCACACGCACACGCACACACTCTCACACCATGCCCTCAGCTTCCCCTCTCTCTCTATCCGTCTCAAGAACACTTCCTGAACTCACTGTGTTCAGATTGTGTCATCTCTACGTGTTGTTACACATTTCACACCATATTTAAAATACATCTGATGCTCCTTCATAGAAAACATTTAAAGTTTAGTCACATTCTGGACATGCCGTACTGATTCTAACAGTTTAGTCAGCAATAGTCACAGTAGTCATGATGCTCTTAAAGTCGTCCATGGGAGTTTTCCTACTTAACAAACAAAAGTTCTGTTAATATTCTCTTTCTTACAAAAACAACAACATTGTGTCTGTATTCTTAAAGTCTAACATGCATGTCCTTCCTCATTTCTCAAGTTTAATTGGATATATGTTTCATTTTGGATTGTTTCAGCCATTCTTACCAGCTAGTCTTCCTCAGTAAAACGGGGAAAACATCCCTCTATAGCCAAACTAGTAGTCATAAACTTCACATGGTGAATCTCAAACAAAGTCAGGTTTTTTTTAATTGTCACTTAACATAATTTTTTTCGTAAATGGGAGTCCATCAAAAATGAATTGGTATAAAACGAGCTGGTAGCCTTAATTTATGTTTGGGAAAATGTGTTTACTGCCTTCACATGTCTCAAATGGAAAAACATTTCACATAATTAATACACATTAGAGGCATCATGAGCTGTAGGTCAATCACATGTTGCATTAGCATGCGGGCAGAAGAATGTTAGAAAATGTACATTTACATAATCCGTAGCTTTTACACACGATTACATGTAGATTTGTTATTTTTATACCATGTTCTCGATACAAACTATACTTTTGCAGGCCAACCTATATTCAGTTTTCATGAATGTGTCTTCTTAACACCTAACATAAAAGAATAATTTGCACAAGGATGTATACCCGTTACATCTTTAAAGTCAGGGCCATTTTTTTATTGCAGCCAATAAAACTGAACGTTGTTAGTTGTGTTGAAAAAATAATAAAAATGAAAACCTATTAAAATGTATTCCAAAGTTCATCTCTTGGATGATGCAATCGATATAACATCAACGCTTTTGACTAATATTCAAAGTGAGAAAACACATGAAGTGTTTAGAGTCGGGTGGAGAGTGACACCTCTTCAAAACCCCCAATTCTTCTCGGTTGACGCTGACAGCGAATACATGACACTTTGCACAACAAACTAAATGTCACCTTAAGTCCTGCTACCAGATGGAACGCAGTACAATGCAGAGCCACTCTCAGGATAGCAGGTGGCTAACATGACACAAACGAGCCAGTTTCTACCCAATGAAATCAGAGCTGCGTATCAGGACAGGCCATGCAGCAGCAGGCCGATCATCATCAGCCACTTAAAGGGCGGATGTGCCCATACAGCTCTGGAGATAGTTATGAGAAAAGTTCCTGCAGCCCATTACTGATTATCAGCTTCAAATGTAGCCAGCAACATAAACGGCCAGAATATGTCGCTAATTCAGTCCCACTTATAGACTAATTAGATTATCTAATTTCAGTTGTATCCTTCATCTCAAATCAATTTCTCATTTAAACATGTCAGAGTGAACACCTTTTATTGTTCATGTTTAATCTAATTGGTGTATGTATTGACCAACAGTCCCTTTTTCCTATAATGTAATTTCTAGTATCTCATTACATGCAATCAGTTTCTGTCAGCCACTCACCCTCACCATCCCGAGCAGTAACCCCTTCAACAAAGACCTCCACACAGGGGTACTTTGTCTTTTCCCGCAATGTACACACACATGCACGTTTTCACACATGCATGCACCGCAACCACCATTAGGACCGCCGAATAATGGCTGCAGTAATGAAGTGAGGGGTGCATCGGTGCAGAATACAATTGTTTTTTGCAAACAATTGATGAGGCCCACACTGCGTTACAGTGATGAGTCAAACGACAGCGGTTAGGGAAATATTTGTTATTATAGAGCTCATTTAGACAAAGACATTATTCAGGATTCTTCTTCTGCTGGAGGTGTACGGGAGCAGCTCTGAGAGTGGACACGTGTGTGCTCCCTCCAGCCTGTGTATGTGTGAAGGACATTGTTTATGTTTATTCCACATTTTCACTCTTTGTGTGTGTTTTGCCTGTTAATCCCAGTGTGTGCACAAGCGTAGACAAAGGTTCCAAGTTGAGTGTAGATCAAATTAAGATACAGTGGAGGGGGATTGCCTCAAGTTCCGATGTGTTAGCGCATGCATGTAGGTGTAGATTAAATTAAGATACAGTGTAGGGGAGTTGCATTATACACTCCACGATGAGCATGCGGGTGCACGTGTGTGAGTGTGTTTCTTGCCATCTGCAAATGCCAGGCAGCTGAAACGCTCCAGCAGCGATGCTCTGTAAGGTCAAAAAAGCCCGAGGTGTCCTCCGTCCTTTGTACCGTAGTAAAAGAGCACTCTACCCTGTCCCCGCTTATTTAATATTAACAGTGAGAGTGTCGGTGCTGATTCCTCCCCATATCGGTGTCCTGACCCCCATTTAGATCCTCCAGAGCACCTATGCTTGTCTTTCACTACCTGGTGGTTAGATAAAGAGTCATTTCTGATCAGGTCAGTTCATATTGTTTCTTTGAATCTAGGGCCCTTGAGTAATCAGTAGCTACAATATCACAACCGTGGGGACAAGAGACATAGCAGTATATTAGATATATATATAAGATTTAGCAATATGAACAATTTATAATAATTACAAATCAGAATAAGAAATCCTTTATTTGTTCCACAGCAGGGGACATTTGCTTTGTCACTGGAAAGGGACATACTACATCATAATAAACAAAGATAAATAAAGAGGCAAGCACGCATTGTTTAAAATATAAGTACACATTATGGTTAATATTAAGTAGCAGCATTATGATGTAAGAAGCGGACATAATCAAGTATTTAAAGGTGACCTATCATGCAAAATGCACTTTTGTACGTCTTTTATACATGAATATGTGTCCCCGGTGTTCCAGGGAACACAACCCTCTCTATTTTCCTCCATACCCAAATCTCTTAAAAAGGGGCTGCAACGGATCTGATACAGACTGATCCAGATTTGAACAATTCTGTGACGTCACAGAAGTGGCGCTACGGCTATTGGTCTAACTCCACCAATCAGGAGGAGACAGCCACGGACATTGCCGTTTGAAAGCGCTGGAGACGCTGTAGTACATATGCCAGGCCTGTAGATGGTGCTGTTCTCACAGAATCAGCCCATTGTTAAATTGAGCGAAATGAGGAATGGCTAAAATGCATGATCTGTTTGGTATTTTGAAAAATAAAAAGTATAAATATGCCTTTATATAGGTACTATATTATTCAAATATGGCAAGATAGGTCCACTTTAAGTATCATCCAGTTGTAACACAAAGTATATATATAGCAAATAGTATTGTTATTTCTCAACAGTGGTGTTACGTCTGAAGTAGTGAATAAGTCACTCTTTAAAACAAAATCAAAGCCAAGTTACAACCTTTTCTACTCTGTATTGCTCCCTGGTCTTATTTAAGGAGTCAAAATAAGTCCCTCGTCTGACTGACATTTAGTTTTTTTTACACAATGTCGTAGACGGTGACTCCGGCTGTCTCGTGAATCCAAATTGCTCCAAAACAACCGATGCTGCGTTATTTTTAGAGGCAGAGTCATTCAGCATAACATCACTCTCTGTCACCTCCTCCTCCTCATCAGCGTGCGTGTCTCTCAGCTGGTTTTCCCCCCCCTCCATTGCTCGATGGGTGTCTTCTGTGACTCCTCGACACCGCTTCCCATTTTAACAACTCTAATTGGTTGTCTGTGAGATAAAAATCAACTGTGAAACGAAATCAGCGTGAGATATGTTTGAATGTCATTCCCACTTTGTTAGTGCAGTTGTAGTTCTTCTAACAGCAGAGGGGTGACACAGTAGTTCAGAGTAAATTGTAGACAGGTAAAGATAGAGGCACAAAGCGAAGGGATGCATTCAA